CTCTCTCTCTCTCTCTCTCTCTCTCTCTCTCTCTCTCTCTCTCTCTCTCTCTCTCCCTTCTCTCTGCTTCTCCCCTTCCCCCTCCTGTTTTTCTCTCTCTCTCTGCTCTTCTCCCCTTCTCTCTTTCCCCCTCCATAACCCACTAAACAAATATCCAATCTCACCCTGCATGGTGAGATTTATTGTCTTGGTAGCACAACCATAAAAAGATGAAACAAAAAAATCAGGCACACAATAACCATGAGAAACTCAAACCTGAAAACCAAACTTAACCTAACACTAAAAAGATCAAGTTGGTTTCATTTTACAGAGGCAAGGATATCTTAACAAAGGCAAATTAATAAATGCAATGTGTCACAAAAGTAGAATCAGGGACAAAAATCACAGATCATTTCATCAGATGCAAAAAATGCCGGCGTCAAAATTTAAATCCGTCCATGCTAAATATTCTGAGGAAACCAGGGATAGAAAGAACAGACGTCAACACAATACAGGCTGCACATGACAAACCTAACCCAACATTATACCAGGTGAGAAAAAGCTAAAAGTTCTGCCTCCAAAATCGAGGGCTCACTCTCATTCAAGGCAAGCGTACAAATAGAAAAGAAGTCAGTTGTGCCCATTTGCAGATGATCTGACCTTAAACATAAAGACCTTAAAGACTCTACCAGTGAGCTCTTATATTTGATAACTTTCAGCAAGGTAGCAGGATATAAAAACCTACAGAAAAACCCAGCAGCTTTTCTGTATACCAATGACAAACTTGCTGAGACACAGATCTCGAAAATCTCATTAATGACTGCACCAGACAAATCCCCGAGAACGTACCTAACCAAGGAGGCAAGAGGCCTTTATGATGAAAGCTTTCAAACACTGAGGCAGAAACCAGAAGAAAAAGCCTTCTATGGAAATGGCGGTCACTAAACTCGGTCTACTGAGTCAATACAAACCCTATCAAATTCCAATAATGCTTTTCACAGAACTAAGAATAAAAATTCTGATATTCATATAGAAGCACAAAAGACTGGTTAACCAAAAAAGACTTAGCAAAAAAGAGCAATTAGGTCCAAACAAAATGCACCACACCTGGTGCGGGTTCCTGACTCCCAGAGTTGGTAACATGCTAAATTTTGGCACAGATGACCACTGTTATATGAGGTTCCAGCAAATTACAGTGAAAGGAGTTTAAATAACTTGTGTAAATATGAACTCCCTTTTTCATGGTGCTGGTGAGATGGCTTAGTGGGTAAAGGTGCTGTGGTGGTTTAAAGAAAATGGACCCAAAGGGAGCGGCACTTCTGGGAAGTGTGGCCTTGTTGGAGTAGGTGTAATCTTGATGGGGGAAGTGTGTCACTGTGGAGGCAGGCTTTGAGGTCTCATATATGCTCAAGATACCACCCAGTCTCTCAGATCACTTCCTGTTGCCTGCAAGATGTGGGACTCTCAGTTATTTCTCCAGCACCAAATCTGCCTGCATGGTGCCATGTCCCACCATGATGATAATGGACTGAACCTCTGAAACTGTAAGTGAGTCACCACAATTAAATGTTTTCTTTTATAAGAGTTGTCATGGTCAGTCCAAGGCTTATCTATTGCATTCCAGATGTGTTGACCCCTGGGATTTCCCCAAATGTAGGACACTAGAAGGCATAATTTGAAGGGGACCACACTCGCACTCTCCTCTAAATAAAACAAAAAAAAAAAAGAGTTGCTGTGGTCATGGTGTCTCTTTACAACAATAGAAACCCTAACTAAACAGGTGCCTGCCTCCAGGCCTGATGACCTGAGTTTGCTCTGGCACGCACTTGGTGGAAGGAGAAGTGACTCATGTTGGTCTCTCACCTCCATGTGTGAACTGTGGCATCTGCATGTGTGTGCCAAAAAAGAAGTCCTTGGGCAGAGTACCGGCACAGGCCCAGGCAGGGCGGCAGACCACCGGTGCAGGCTGCAGCAGACCGGCGCAGGCGTCAGCAGACAGCAGGGACCGGCGCACAACACCGAGAGCAGATCGCCCCACTACAAT